AAAGTTCAGCCAAAATAATCACGAACTGAGTCTGTCATTGTCACAGTCTGTACACATGGTACATATGATTCGAAGACTGACAAAAAAAATCAACAAACTAGACTTTGTCATTAACTTCAATCATAAAAACATCAATTTTTTTACTTACATTTATGATCCCATACTGTTTAATTCACTCCTTTTCATTTAATAAACACAAACACCATCTACTGAGGTATCAAAGCACATTTTCTGTCACTACGGGATGCAGAATTGAGTCGCTAATTGTAGAACCAAACCGGAACGGAAATACGGAATTCCGAATTGTTTGTTTTTTTCAAAGACGATTTTCCCCAAAACCTACGCGCGCGGGTGACGTTAAACATAGAATTAATCTTAAACAGCCTAAATACTAATAAAACAAACGGGGCGGGGCACTTTGAGAGGGGCGAGAGACGTCCTAGGGAGTTTTGGTATAAAATTACATTGCATAAGCTCAAAATCTTCTTGAAATATCGCCCGGAAATGATAGTATTACACACAGACAGAATGTGTAAATTTACGACCTTGAACTTTGACCTTTTGACCTCAAAATCAATAGGGGTCTTCATTAGGCCACAGGGAGTTGTTATATAAAATTTCATTGCAATAGCTCAAATGGTTCTACAGATATCGCGTGGAAACAAAAGTGTTTTAACAGACAGAATTTGCTTATTTATGACCTTGACCTTTGACCTTTTGACCTCAAAATCAATAGGGGTCTTCTTTAGTCCATAGGGAGTTGCTATGCTAAATATCATTGCAAAAGTTCAAAGGGTTCTCGAGATATCGTGTGGAAACGAAAGCGTTACAGACAGACAGAAAGACGGACGGACGGACGGACGGACAGACGGACGGACGGACGGACGGACGGACGGACGGACAAACCCAAATTAATATCCCCCACTTTTCAAGCGGGGGACAAAAACGCAAGTATGGTAAGGCCACATCTGACTAAGATGCTATAATGTGTGAAAGTTTGGTTAAAATGGCCTCCTTATTCACACATGATAAACAATGACAAAAATACTTTTAAAAAATCAAAATAAATTAAACCAAACACAAGTGCAAACTTTGCGTGGGCAAGGAGGGTTCACATATCACAGATTTTTACATTGACATTGATAATATCATTCAAACACTAAGGACCCCCCCCCCCAAAAAAAAAAAAAATAATAATAAACAAACAGAAACCGAAAATATAAAATATTTGGAAGAAAAATATTCATATTTTAGCTCCTGTAATCGAAGGTTTGGGGGTATATAGTTTTTGACCCGACCGTCTTTCTTTCTTTCTGTCCGCAGAACTTTTACCTTGTCCGAAATTTTTTAGTGGTTGGGACTATGAATTTCATATTCCACAAGTGTATTCTTGACGACCTTTCTAAGAATACCACAAATTTGACCTCTTGACATTGACCTTAGAGTTTAACCTTTACCTTAACCTTTAATTCTCTCCGTACCAGTAGGCACACAAGGCCTGCACATCTTTCTTCCATTGGAGAAGTCTAAGGCTGTATGGCGTGTCTTGTTCCAAGAGTTCCAGCCTACATTATTTCGCTCTACCTCAACTCTCCGTCATCGTGTTGTCTTGGGGTGGCTTCGCTTCCTTCTCCCCTTAGGTGTCCACCCGAGGGTCACAACACATCTGTTGGATCCTTTCTCAACTCCTCCTCCTCAAGTTGCCACTGATGCTTTCTACTTCTGCCATCTCCAGAACTGTCTTGTTAGAGACATGCTGTTGCCATCTGATCATAAGAATCCTTCCGAGGCACTTGGTCTGAAAGATTTCATCCTTCTTTTCCTCTGTCTTGGTAAGCTTCCAAGTCTCACATCAGTATAACAATACATAGACGACCAAGCTCTTGAAGAAGGAAACTTATCTTTCTACTAATGTCTGTTGTCTGTTGTGTTCCAGATGTTGGCTATCCTCCTGAAGGATGCACCGGTCAGTGCTATCCTCTTTTTGATGTCAGCAGTACCTCCTCCATCCTTGGTAACATTAGCCCCGATGTAAGTAGAGGTGTCCACCTCGCTGACTTCACTGTCTCCGACTTTCAAGCTGGCTTCACTTTTGCTGTTTATCTTCATCACTTTGCACTTCTTGGTCCCAACTTTTGCTGAGTTTTCTTCTAGTTTTGTTTTCTTGGACTACATGTAAAAATGGATCATTGCTGATGACAGTAGGGCAATGTCTTCCGCGAAGTCAGTGTCTTCAAGCATAGTGGTGAAGTCCCATGGTTTATTGTCTTGTTGTCATCAGTAACTTACTAGTAGCACTAAAATCATCATAAAGGGCTTGACCATCCTATTCATTTTTTTTTTGTTATTACATACATGCATGTATTTCTCTATGATGACCTAAAGACTGTCTCATTGCACCGAGTCGAAAGTCCACAAAATAGATGTACGCGGTAGCATTTCACTCGTTGACTTGCTCCAAGATGTTCCTGAGGATAAATATCTGATTACCAGTCCCTCTCCCTTTCTAGAACCCTGCCTGCTCTTTCCTAAGAGTTTGGTCAACTCCAGCCTGTGTTCTGTTAATGAGGATTCTGCTTAGTGCTTTGCTGGCTAGGGGGCAGCAATGTCACCCCCTCCAATTGTAGTCCTGTAAGCTGTCTCTCTTGGGATTTTTGCAGATTAGTCCTTTGGTTCAATCTTTGGGCACCTTCTCCTCCTTCTATATTTGGTCAAAGGTAAACTGCAGGTCCTGACTAGTATGATTCAGGTCTGCCTTTAGCATTTCTACTGTTATTTGATCTGTACAAGGGACCTTCCCATTCCGAAGCGTCTTTAGTGCAGCCCTTGTTTCCTGTGTTATAGGTGGCTCAACTGAGATGTCTAGCTCTTCTACCTCATCCTGTATATCTTGTAATGGTGACTTTCTTCCTCAAGCTGTTATTGAACTTTGTTTTTACTTTTTTAGGCGCTCTACATCAAGTCTTAGTTTCAAGTTGCTCTCATCCTTATGTGTGCCGAGGAGTAGCCTGATTCGGGTTTTCACCAGGTACATGTAGTAGTCGCTGTTGGCATCCGCTCTCCTCTGGACCTCCTATATCTTGTACAGAACTGATCTCCATTTATTGAGAAGGGTCCTCGCGTAGCGCAGTGGTAAGAGCGTCTGCTCTAGAGTCGTTGAGTAAGGACTTGTAATCCTTACGTCGCGGGTTCGAATCCCACTGTGGGACGTGGAGACCGTCCTTCGGATGAGACCGTATAAACCGAGGTCCCGAGTCGCAGTAGATGCTGGCACGAAAAAGATCCCTCCCTGTTCAATAACCCTGAGTGCCGATTATAGGACAAAATTTGCATCTCTCCGCCGGCAAGTGGTGGCGTCTCCATATGAGTGGGAAAATTCTCGAGAGGGACGTTAAACAACAATCAATCAAATCAATCTATTGAAAAGGTGATCAATCTGGTTTTTCGCTGTTCCAGTACCAGACATCATGTTGCTTTGTGTATGTCTTTAAGGGGGAAAAATATTCTTGTGATTCTTACCCCGATGGTCTGACAAATTTTACACAGCCTTTCTGCGTTCTCGTTTTGTGTTCCCAGTCCATGTATACCCATTGTTTCTTTCAAATTCGTTATTATTACTTCCTACTTTGGCATTGAGGTCTCCCATGATAATGATGATGTCGTTCGTGTTGCATCCATCCAAGGTCTCCCGTAGCTCCAGATACAATTGGTTCTTCTCCTCCTTTTCCTCTTTCTTTTTCATATTATTTTCTTAACATAATTTATCTTTGGATCACCGGCACTCTACGGTATCTTGTATAGAATCTTGCTGTTATTATTCTCTTGTTGAAGGGTGCTCATTCCATGGGTTATTTCATTGCCAGCTGGTTGATCATTATGGCTACTCCTCCCTTATCCAGTTCTTCATCTTGCTTAATCCGGTCTTCTTTGTTGCTCTTTTATGTCCATTAATTGTTTCTGTAACTGTAATTTTTTTTCGGGAAGAGGTAGTCGGACTCCTGCCCAACCCCATTCTTGAAGGGCCAGTGGTTTTCTGTCAGTGTGTCTTTCCCTTATGCTGCATTCTTGGTCTACAGCACCTTCTTCAGTCTATCCGGTACACCTATTACTAAGTGAGGGATCCACTATCAGCCACCCGGGAGACGCGCCTAGTGCAGCCCCAGCCGAAGGTGAAGTTTGACCCTCTTTTACAAAAAAAAAAAAAAAATCCAAACTGTAACCTTGATCGTAACTTTTGAACAGTAAGTTCTAGAGTTTTCATACTTAGCTTGTTTATTCATTGTGGCATGACCTTTCAGTGGATATATTTTTTTTTACCTTTTGACCTTGACCTTAGAGTTTGACCAACTTTAATTTTTTTTAAATGAAAAAAAAACTTTTAAACTTGGGCATAACTTTTGAGCAGTTAGTACTATGGCGTTAATATTTCATTGATTTATTATGACAAAACCTACCTTTGAATACCAACAATTTTGACCTTTCGACCTTGAACTTAGAGTTTGACTTGCATTTGAAACACGTAATTCCTTTCTATAAGCTGTCATACGGGGGCATCAGTGTTTCACAAACACATCTTGTTTTATATGTGAGAATTACTGTCGTCTTATTTTGTCTATTTGTTGCTTGGAGAAATCAATTCAAGACCTCACTAGACTAGCTGCAATAATGTAGCCCTCTCCGATTTTTTTTTATCTGATGTTTTCTCCCCTCCCCCCCCCCCAAAAAAAAAAGAGGAGAGGGCTACATTATTGCAGCTATCACTAGACTAGCTCGGGGGAAGGGCGCATACTCCCTCCCAAGCACCCCCTCTTTCAAAAACTTTGTGACTGCACTGTATTAAATATGTTAAATAGTTATCTATAAATATTGGTAATATAACATAATAAATATTAAAAATATGATGCGTTTACAGAAGTTTAACAAATATGAGAAATCATAAAAAATGATCGGGATCGGAATACAAAAACCATAAATATATCGTCGTTCTCAGGTCACAGGTGGGCACATTTGACTTGTCAAGTAACCGTATCATTTCCATTATTTAGTTTTTTGATGGAATGTCGGTCGGAAAGCGATCACTAATCTTATCTTTTCCTGTGCGATGGGCAAGGAGACGAAATAATTTTGCACAGTATTCGACGGTATGCAAAAGTTTTTAACGTGCTTTGACCCAGTTTTCAGTTTTGTTTACTTGTCAGCTGCTTGTAGGTCTACGCATTTACTTAAAATAATGAAATGTATTTGTAAGGCAAGCATTTTTATGGAGAAAAATATCCACATAAGATATATATGTTTTTAATGACAACATAACATAAGCAAGCCTAAATCGTGAGTCACTTGTACAGGTATTTGGATCCGCTCCTGCAGTCCTTGATACCATTTTGTACAGTGTGAACACCCCTGGCTTGCAATTTGAGGTACCCAACGCCTTATCTTGCTTGCATTTTTTAAAATACATATATATTTATTTATTTATTTATTTTTCACTCCTTTTGATCATATTTTGTTTAGAAAGGAAACAAATCTGATGAAATGTTAAACTGAATATTTTCTGACAAAACTGAAGCGTGCAATTCATAAAAAAATTTCAAAAGCTATTAAGCCTGTTTTTCATAAATCTAGCAAACAGAATTTTTCCAGAACATTCCCTGGGGAAGGTAACTTAACTGTCATTAACAGTCATAACTAGAAGACATGATACTTAAACTTAAAGGACTGCATAACCTGATCGAAAACTTCTGTGACCTAATCATATGTTATCTCTCTTGTTAAATATTTGCTCAGCATAGCCTATTTGGATAGATTGAGTGTAAACTAAACCTAGATCAGACTAGTTGGATTTTGCAATGAAAATATTCTTTGAGATGAGTTTAACTTTGAAAAGGTGACAACTTGAGATTAGTCTCATTTTAAAAAAAAAATAGAAATGAGAAGGATTCTGGAGGGAAATGACATATATATCCCTCATATTGCAGTCAATAGTCTTGTTACCTGTAAATACATGGCAAGTTTATTTATATCTCCAATACCCTCACAATGTCAAAGTTTAGTGATTTCCGAACTCCACACAAACCCTTGACATGTGTGAAGTTTCGAAATCACAAAACCTTGACATTGTGAGGATGATAAATCTTATATATCCCCCTCTTTGTGTGATGGGAAATGTCTGTTTGTCTGTCCTAACAAACATTATTTGTCCAGAAATAAACAAGATTCAAACATTAAATTAGGCCTACTCTATACTCTCGCAAATCAATTAAATGTATTTGATTTTTTTCTCCTTTAGCTTTTTTTTTCAATCAGTTGTTTGCCTTTTTATTTTTATAGGACACCATTAGAAATGGTTTACTTGGAATGGTGGGAAGGTGAGAGTTGATAGTAGCTAGGTAACAGCTAGATAACAGATTTTTTTTTTCATTAATTGTATCATGGCAGTGTTTAATATATGTGTATCTTTTCTTTTTCAGAACACCTCTAGTGAGAATTAACAAACTTAGTGATGAAACTGGTTTGTAATTTTATTTCCTTGTCATCATACAAAACAATGAACAATTTGACTTTAACAAATACATGCAGGGCTCTCGATTCTCTAAATCTGGGGCTGATATTCGGCCCCGTTCCCAATGCAAAAAAGGTACCTTTTTCCCAAAAGAAAGGTGTAAATTTCCCAATTTCCATAGCAAAATATTAATTAAAAAATAAAAGTCCATGAATCTTAATCGCAAAAAATGAAACCAAACAAAGCACACTTGCAAATGAAAGTGAAACTGTACTAATATTTATTAGTTTGCGCCAAATGCATTCGTAAACTGGTTTGTGGAACCAGGTTATTGTTTTTACAAAAATGTGTACTAATTATGAGTGCAGAGTATCTTGTCATGTAGTTTCGACAAAAAACATCATTGAGGTTTCAAAAATAGACATTTCATTTAGACATTGGTAAGCTGCACCTAGAAAAATACCCACGCTTCGGGATGTTCAGTCTTGCGCTGTATTGTAAGCAAAGTTGTCTGTGTGATCGAGGAAATTCGGGAATATGTGACTAGCGACTGTCACTTGGAAAGACATATAACCACAATATCAACACTCAAAGATAGTAAGGACAAAGCTAATTAAATGTACTTTCATAAATAGCCTACGTACCCATGTTTGCTCTGTTAAACTGTTTATTCAAAACCAGAGTTAACATGATGACAAAATGCTAGAAAAGCAAAATTTGAGGATTTTTAAAATTAATTTTGGTTTTCCAACTTTTCCCAAAATGACGATAATTTTCCCAATTTGAATGGCCCCGGCCCCAGTACCAAAAAGTGGTGTGAGAGCCCTGACATGTATTTCCAAACCCAAATGCAAAGAATCTCTGAAAGTAAGCACTAGTACTACTTCTGCATATGATGCACTTATGTAAACCAGCTGATAAGAAATGTACTGATACTTCAATCAGTATTATTTGCATTGTACCAAATGCAAAACTGTAATAGAATATTTTTTAATTTTGCATTGATTAATTCAACCATTTTCAAAGTCCAACAAATAATGTTCACATATATCAATGAGATTCTTAGAACTTAAAAAATGTAATGCAACATTTTGAATATATACAGTGAAACTTTTTTATTCAGGATTTTGTTTATCTGAAATCTTGCTTACTTGGTACGCATGTAATACAATTTTAACTTAAAGTCCACTTTAGTAAAAAAAATTTTAAAATGTCATATCAGTAATGTTTTCTATTCTGGCAATTTTCTAGTAATGTTTGGATTAGACAAGTTTTACTTTATATTCTTTAAATTAATTTTCAGGTTGTGAGATTTTAGCAAAAGCCGAGTTTTGTAATGGAGGGGGATCAGTTAAAGATAGAGCTGCGTACTTTCTCATCAAGGATGCAGAAGAAAAAGGTTGGTTGTAACATGTTAGCAAGTGCATTTCATGCTTATGCATTCAAATATGACAAGTCTAATTTTTGCAATGATATTTACATTTGCTGTTTTCCTTTTTTTTTTCTAATCAACTTTGAAAATTATTTGATTTGCATTTTTTGTGTGTTTTCTTGGGTAGAACATCAAGCAGCTTGAGCTAAAGTGAAATCAAAAAGAGGCCTATAGATAGGTTAATGAAAAAAAATAATATGGCTGTGAAAAATTTAAACAATGGGGTGTACATTTCATGTTTTGAAACATAAAAAATATAAATTTAAGGAATTTTAAAAAAGATTTTTGGGAGTAATTGGTGTGTAATTGAATGCCTTATCATATGTCATTCCAAAGTAATAACCACAGGCAGTTTTTTTGAAAATCAGGGCAAAAATGAAGATCAAGGTCAAGGGTTCAAAAATCATAGCAATCTTATAAAGCATCTTGTCTCAGGTAATGCACATGTCAAATATAAAAGCCCTACATTTTTTTAGTCAAATGATGAAGAATTAATGAACGCATAATTTTGTGAGAAGCACCATTCACAAAACAAAATTACTTAATGTTATTTTTATGGTGCCTATAAATTCATGAAAAATATTTCGATCGACAGTCCACTTGTAAATTATATTTCTCGCAATTTGATGCCTAAGAGCCAGTACACAATATTAGTACTCACCTAATGCGTCGTTTCAAATTTTCCATTGCTAATGAATAATCTACAGAATTAAACGTAATTAATGTTTTGCAATGAAACTTGTCTAATCTGAATGTTGTATATTCAAAAAAACTTGTCTAATGCAATGGAAATTATAAGTCCTTTTCAGTAAAATTAAATTCAGATGTTTACAATATTGTCTTAAATCTGGAATATTGTCTATAATCAGGCCAATTTTTTGGGAACCGATGGTGACCGGATTAGACAAATTTCCCTGTATTTCACTGTATAATGAATGCATAGGTCTCTATTTTGTGTTGAAGGCTTATTGAGACCAGGAGGGACCGTTGTGGAGGGAACAGCAGGGAATACTGGGATAGGACTGGCTCACATGTGTCTGGCGAAAGGCTACAAGTGTGTCATCTTCATGCCCAATAACCAATCAAAGGCAAGGAAAAATATTACATAGTTATAAAGATTTTGAAGTTTTATACCCACATTACAAATGTGTCATCTTCATGCCAAATAACCAATCAAAGGCAAGGAAAAGTACCAGTATTGCACAGTTAAAGATATTTAAGTTCTATATCATTACCTACAGTTACAAATGTGTCATCTTCATGGCCAACAACCGATCAAAAGTAAAGAAAATGTATTACACAGTTAATATTCATGCCCAACAACCACTCAAAGCTAAGAAAGGATGTATTCGGGATAACAAAAGATTTGACCTATAGGAGAGAATGATTTTCCGGAAAAAATCACATTTAAAAATCAATCTTCTTTAGTTCTTTTCTACCGTATATTTGTCTAAATTTTTAAAATCTGCATTTCGAATCTAAAATTTATAATTTAATTGCAACTTTAAAATAAACCTCCAAAGTTGGCCAAAACAGCATTTTGTCCGTTAAAGCACTAAATTTTGGGTGAATTTTGACGTAGAAGTCCTTCAGGGCAGGCCTGCCCCTAAATTAAATCATGTAATTTTGAAAGATATTGATCTAATCTATGATTTAAAACAAGATTTTTTTAGGGGCACCCCTGCCCTAGGGTTGAAATTGACAAAAAACCTACAAAAAATGCGAAAACTCATATCGTTCATACTGGTTAATATTTATGACCCATTCCTGTATAGTTAGTATAGCTCAGTAAGTTAGACCGTGGACAGTCGCAATAAACCTTTTTTGTGTCCTGGTTCGAATCCACCAGTTGGAACACTTATTTTTTTTAAATTATTCACTTGTATAAACACCATTTTATTTCTTTTTTTATACAGGTTTTTGTATTTTTCTTCTATTCTCTTCCTTAAATGCATGTTTGTTGTTGAAATAAAGACTTTTCTGGAACTGCAAATCATAAATTCTCCTTAACTTAACGCAGTCAACCGGAACTATACCTCAGTGTAAGCACACTTTGTTCGAGGACACGAATCATTCACTTTGTGTTACTCGATACAGGTGTAACGAAGGAAAAGTCATGCCGAGCAAAAATTGCTGCGTTTGCCTTTGTAGAACTTCTCTGGGAAATGGTACTGTTGTGGGAGAGATACTGCAGAGTAGATGTAGTTCATTACTCAGGAAAAATGTGAGCGTTGGCGATATTTTATGCCAAAAATGCAGAAGGAAGGTTTACCGATTAGAAAAGAGTGGGGTAGGGTCATTTAAGGTAGTATGCCCCGTTGCCATTACCCAAGCATCAGGTAAGGATACTGATACAAAGGATGTGTCTGTTAATACTGAAGGAGGGCCAGATGACCACACAGTTAATAAAACTGATAAAATCTTTGGTAAAAATCCATCTACCTCTGCTAGCTTCACTCTTCCCGTTATTTCTTTGGTAAAACTAAGGCGATGTGCATCATTTGTCGCAAAGAATCAAAGGGTTTGCGAATTATCCCACATTCAGCACGCGCAGACATTTTCATTCAGCAAGGTGTATTGGTACCAGCTAGGGTCAAATGCTGTATATCTCATTTAAAAGATGACCACTTGCGTGTTTGGCATGTGCTTGATACCGCTAAACTCAGAAAGGTTTCCTCAGAAATCAACCAAAATGAAATTACAGAATTACTGAGTGATATGAGGGAAAGAATATTGCAAGGTTTCTCAAAAAAGCTTGATTTTAGGAAGAGCCTAAATCTATGTAATGATGATTATTTTAATCTAACTGGTCTTACGTATGATCAGTTTGAAGATCTTGTTAGTTGTCTTTTGTCTTTCTCGCCATCTACAGTTCGTTCTACTCGAGAGGCTACTGGTCTCTTATACGTACAAAATTGCGTACAGGCATGTCTCATTCTATTCTTGCAACTTTGTTTGGTTTTACTGAAATGCAAGTTTCTCACATTGTTGCTTCTGCAAGAAAAGCATTTCTTCAGGACTTCGTACCTTCATTTTTAGGTTTTTCTCATATTTCACGTTCCGAGATTATAGAAAATCATACTACAGTTTTTGCAAAAGAGCTGTTTTCTGACTGGGTAGACGATACAGCTATTCTTGTAATGGACGGCACCTACATTTATATTGAAAAAAGTAGTTCTTATACCCAACAACGAAGATGTTTCTCAGTACATAAAGGTCGCCCACTTATAAAACCTATGATGATCACAAGTACAGATGGTTATATTGTAAGTGTTTTTGGGCCATTCTTTGCAGATGGCAAAAATAGCGTGCCCATATATTTTGACAAGTATGTTAAAATCCAATGCAGAGGGCATCGTCGATTGGCTAAATGAAGAAGACATATTTATTCTTGACCGTGGTTTTCGTGATGCTGTGGAAAACAATTACAGATTTCGGTTATCAATGTGAAATGCCAGCATTTCTTAACAAATCTATCAAACAACATACAACAGAAGAGGCAAATAGTTCAAGACTTGTAACAAAACTTTGTTGGGTGGTAGAGTCTGCCAACGGTAGATTGAAACGTTGGAAGTTTCTCTCCAATGTAGTAACAAATACACAAATACCATTCATCGGAGACTATGTCAGAATTGTCGCAGCTTTAACAAATGCCTATAGACCACCTCTTGTTTCTGATAAACCACAAGACGAAAAGCTTGCACAACAAATGCTCTCACTGAAATCTAAACCCAATCATGTAATGGAAAAAGTATCAAATATTCGTATTACAAAGAAAGAAAAGTGGGTTAAGCTTGATGCAGAAGATTCAGATGTCAAAATAGACTTTCCTGTCCTATCAGAACAAAACTTAAGAGACATCACTTTTGGTATATACCAGTTGAAACAGGCAATCAATTACGTAAATGAACATGTAAGCGTACAAGGTAATTACGAAATTTCTGTGAATCAAAATGAAAACCTTTCAAATCTTGTACATGTTAAAATACAGTCTTGCCATGTATCTTCCAAAAAACACAATTGTTGGATTGAAAAAAGGCAAACAGAGGGAAACCCTATATCTGGCTGGTATTGCGATTGTAAAGTAGGTGCTAGGACTGTTGGGTGCTGTGCTCATGTTGCGTCGTGGAACCTGACAGCAGGATCCCAAACTTTTTCAGTGTTCGTTTATACAAAATCTTTTAACACTACACACATAAAACAGAACAAGGTTCCCTCTAGGTACGACAGGGGCGTGCTGAATACCTTGAAGTCAATTGATCTATACCCTGATAAGGTTTTTTTTTTCAGGAGTAACAACTAATTTCAAATTCTTGGATTTCATTTTCATAGTAATTTTATTTTCATAATTAGTCGCCCACATGGCGCAGTGATTAGAGCGTCTGCTCTAGAATCGCGGAGTAAGGAGTTGATCCTTACGTCGCGGATTCGAATCCCACTGTGCGACGTGGAGACCGGTCATTTGGATGAGACCGTTTAAACTAAGGTCCTGTGATGCAGTACTTAGATGCTGGCACGAAAAAAAGTCCTCACGGCTCAATGGCCCTGAGTGTCGAGTATAGATCAAAATTTGCGGCTCTCCACCGGAGAGTCGTGGAGTCTTCATATGAGTGAAAAATTCTTAAGAGGGACGTCAAACAAGTAACAACAAACAATCAACCATTTTCATAATTTGCATTTTTTTACACAAATAAACTAAAAATGCATCCATAAATCAAGCTGCTAAGATAATGACTGTAAAACTGTTTCGTTCATCTCTACACGTTAAAGGTATTGACTAGAACTAAAGCGATTCATGAGAAACAAAAAACTACACGCATGTGGCCTAAAGTCATTGACCGGAACGGATATCGATAAGCTTTTTCTAAAGACTAAAACCAATATCGGCCCTATAGGTCAAAGCATATATATACCTAGAAGTGATCCTTACACAGTTAATATTCGTGCACAACAACCAATCAAAGGGAAGAAAAAGTATATTACACAGTAAATCTTCTTGCCCAACAACCAATGCAAAGTAAAGAAAAAGTATTTTACATATAAAGATATTAATGTACATGTATACGCACAGTTATGAATTTGTCAGAAATGATATACCCCAGGTTTATACATGGTTCAATTCCAAAGCAGATGGGTACAGTCCACTAATTGTTTTTTCCCCATAGGTGAAAATTTTGATGTTTCTTTTCATAGTGATGTCCCTAATTTTCATTTAGCAGTGATTGATTGATATTATATTTTGTTTAACGTCCCTCTCGAGAATTTTGCACTTGTATGGAGATGCCACTACTTGCCAGTGGAGAGCTGCAAATTTTGTCCAATACTCGGCACTCAGGGCCAATGAGCAGGGCAACACGGGACCTCGGTTTATACGGTCTCATCTGAAGGAATGGTCTCCATGTCCCACAGTGGGATTCGAACCCACAGCGTAAAGATTGACTCCTTATTTTGCGACTCTAGAGCAGACGCGAAGTAAGGCAGTGAGTGACCCCTCAAAGTAAAGCACATCAAGTTATCTTTCCTTGGTTAAAATCTTGAGGTGGCATGTCAGATTTGTTTTCCGGCAAAATGCGTCTGTCTGCAATAACCTATGAAAGTGAAAGTAGGGGAATTCAAGACTTCTAATGGTGATATTTGCAAGGGAACATACTCCTTAACAAGTTTGAGGCTCAATTTAGTACATCTTCACATTATTATTTTATTCAAGTCTGCAAATTAAGGAACTTGTAATTTTTTTCTGCTCTACTTTCTTCTCCTACCAATCTAAAAATAATCAGAGGGATATACCCAGATAATCATGGAAACTTATAATTATATAGTACTGTACCTGTGCTTATAAGACAGATTGAAATTCATTTTTAATATCAACAAGTCGATCGATTAAGTGATTGACTAAGTGAAATGAAGTACAATTTTTGAAATTTGATGATTCCTCAGTACGAATTTGTTGAATACGATGATACACATGTACTAAATGTAATGTATAATTTATACAATGAAAGATATTAAAGGACATGTACTATACCCCCAGTGATAAATCGTGTTGGAAATGATATATATACCAAGTTATATATGGTTCATTTTCAAACCATAAAATCGTGTAATCTAAGTTATATTGTATACTTAAACTCATATATAAGACAGACATAGAAAGTCCTTTTATCAACAAGTAGATCAACTTAGTAAAGAACATGTATGGTTTATTAAACTTGGTATAATAAGATATTGATGTAGCTGCAGTTCCCGGAGTTCTTTTCAAGTGTAGAATAACATCTAATTAAGGTTTTGATGAGTTGTAATTAAGGAATCACTGTGTAGTTTGTTGGGTATGCCAGGGACAGTATTAATGACAACTGGAAATGTGGCATATAATTTACGCACAACAGGTGATTCCTAATGCAGATATCTTCATTTATATTTGGAATGAAAATTTTAATAAATATGACAAACATTCTGTCTAATAAACTGAAATACACAAGACATTCTATTAATTTTCATAGTGCCCCCCTACTGACAGATACAAATGAGATCTTTGGGGATTGACAAGTGCATATAAGTAGATCTGGGTTTGACCGTGAATTTTGTACTGAAATACATGTATACTGCAATCATTCTAAATGTATTGCAATATTTTCAATGACAATTAAAATGATTTTTCATTATATATTTAATTAATCTCCATTTATCAGCAAACTGCATGTAAAAACTGTTATAAATATGCCACATAAAAAAAAAGTTCATGTTGATTAATCTTAAATTTTCAATGAAATAATTACTCAAGAAATCCCAAGCATTTTGCCGACATAACAGTATACATACATGTATTAGAATACTATATTTCCATGTCAATGAATTTCAGTATACTGGAATATTGATATTATTGTGCAGCCCTACACGTATATATTTTGTTTTGACCTTTCACTCACCAAAATTTACATTCAGTTGTAAATATCAAGAAGTCAATTCATTTCAAACTTGCAGTTGCAAGGAGGAAACAAAGAGAAAACAATTGGAATTGTAAATACAATCAAACCTTATCTAAAACTCAATGGACCCAAGAAAAAAACTGAGAGATATCTAAGGATTTGAGATATCCAGGGTAAAGTACATAGAGAATAAAAGGTGGGGATTTTCAAATCACCTCAACAAATATCAATGGTACTGTATAAGTGGAAATTTTAGCGAGGCACAAACTCAAGAATGGGTATTTTATTTTTATTTTGAAGTAATTAACACATTTTTAAAAAGCTCACTATAGAAGGATTTACAATTAAAACGCAATCAATTTTTAGCGATATTCCATTTTAGGGATCTCAGCACCACGCTAAAAATTCTGCTTATACAGTATTTCAGTATTATTTTGCAATTTTGTGATGAATTGCAATTTCTTAATGAATATGACTATTTTATTGTACATAGATGTATAACACACACTGGCCAGTAACTCTGCCAGTCAAATGACCTGTTCCTCAATTCAAAAAGCCTGTAATGACTTGCAAGTTAAAACAGAGGTATTACTGTAACAGTAAAACTCATTTAGTACAAACACATATATTGTGAATTCATGGATAAAGTGAAGTTATCTTGGATTCCCAGCTATATAAATTTGAAATAGTGAAGTAATTTCAAAGGTCCCAGTGACTTCGTTACAAGTGAATTTTACTGTATTTTTATAGATTTTCTTTTTCATTACACAGGAAAAGATTGAATGTCTTCAGACACTAGGAGCTGAGGTTCATCCCTGTCCTGTAAAACCTTGGACTGATCCTGATAATTACAATCACCAGGTTAGTAAAACAATGGTCCTAAGACAGGGATAGTAAAACCTTGGATAGATCCTGATAATTACAATAACCAGGTTAGTAATACAATGATCCTAGGACAGGGATAGTAAAACCTTGGATAGATCCTGATAATTACAATCACCAGGTTAGTAATACAATGATCCTAGGACAGGGATAGTAAAACCTTGGATAGATGCTGATAATTACAATCACCAGGTTAGTAATACAATGATCCTAGGACAGGGATAGTAAAACCTTGGATAGATGCTGATAATTACAATCACCAGGTTAGTAATACAATGATCCTAGGACAGGGATAGTAAAACCTTGGATAGATCCTGATAATTACAATCACCAGGTTAGTAATACAATGATCCTAGGACAGGGATAGTAAAACCTTGGATATATCCTGATAATTACAATCACCAGGTTAGTAATACAATGATCCTAGGACAGGGATAGTAAAACCTTGGATAGATCCTGATAATTACAATCACCAGGTTAGTAATACAATGATCCTAGGACAGGGATAGTAAAACCTTGGATAGATGCTGATAATTACAATCACCAGGTTAGTAATACAATGATCCTAGGACAGGGATAGTAAAACCTTGGATAGATCCTGATAATTACAATCACCAGGTTAGTAATACAATGATCCTAGGACAGGGATAGTAAAACCTTGGATAGATGCTGATAATTACAATCACCAGGTTAGTAATACAATGATCCTAGGACAGGGATAGTAAAACCTTGGATATATCCTGATAATTATAATCACCAGGTTAGTAATACAATGATCCTAGGACAGGGATAGTAAAACCTTGGATAGATGCTGATAATTACAATCACCAGGTTAGTAATACAATGATCCTAGGACAGGGATAGTAAAACCTTGGATAGATCCTGATAATTACAATCACCAGGTTAGTAATACAATGATCCTAGGACAGGGATAGTAAAACCTTGGATAGATCCTGATAATTACAATCACCAGGTTAGTAATACAATGATCCTAGGACAGGGATAGTAAAACCTTGGATAGATGCTGATAATTACAATCACCAGGTTAGTGTTCTGACCACACTAAAACAATGGTTCCAGGACAGGGATAGTAATATTGTGGACAGATCCTTATGATTACAATCACCAAGTTAGTGTTCTGACCCAATTAAAACAATGGTCCTAAGACAGGGATAGTAAAACCTTGGACTGATCCTGATAATGATAATAACCAGGGTAGTAAAACAATGGTCCTAAGACAGGGATAGTCAAACCTTGGAATGATCCTGATAATTAAAATCACCAGGTTAGTAAAACAATGGTCCTAAGACAGGGATAGTCAAACCTTGGACAGATCCTGATAATTAAAATCACCAGGTTAGTAAAACAGTGGTCTTTGGACAGGGATAGTAAAACCTTGGATAGATCCTGATAATTACAATCACCAGATTAGTAAAACAATGGTACCAGGACAGGGATAGTAAAACCTTGGATAAATCCTGATAATTTTGGGGCCCATTTTACAAAAGAACTTATAGCTAAGACGAAAATTTTGTTAATTGTAAAGTTTTGCAAACACAAAAAATGGTTCTGTTTAAAAATGCTTAAAAGTATCTTACAACATTCTTTTTAAAAAAATGTTATAAAACCATATCATCTTTAGACATTCATTTGAATAGTACTTTTGCTATGCCTAAAAGGCCTTAAAATGCATTCTGAATATTTTGTTGAATGTAAAAGTCTCTTTTGTCTCCTGCTTAATGTTGTTATGGTAGTGCTTATTATGGTCACTGCAACAAGTGCCCTGGATGACTGTAAAATAAAGAAGAATATACTCAGTATTCTGTAATCACAAACAATTTTTCGATAGACAGAATATTTTCCATGCAAAACAATTATTTTGAATGCATGTCCACAGAAAACATAAAAATAAAACATTCAGTTGATTTTTCACCTTTGCTTTTGTGATGTGCTTCATGAGCAGTAGAATCGTAGGTCTGTACATATTCTATCATCAGAACTAAGTTTTACATTCAAACCTAATACAGATTATCAGATACTGTATACAGGGAAATCCCCCCCTCCCCCATTTTATTTTTACCCCTTCCCCCCTAACCTCGCTTGGGCAAATTTAAAAAGAGGCGAATTCAAAGAATACAGTATAATTCCTTGAACAAAACTGTGACTGGGCAAATTTAAAGCAGGGCAAAATTGTTTGCAAGGGTGAAAGGGCGAAAATAAAATGGGGCGAAAATAACCCTGTATAGTACTCATTGGTGATCTTGTCTTTTACTCATCTCCATTGGTTTTCCGATGATGTTTGACTCAAATAAATTCTATTCTAGGACATATGTGTGTTCTGTATTTTACTTACAGTACTTCATTATTTATTTTATTAAGACTAATTATTTTTGTATCATCAGTGTACTTAACTCATATGTGCTCAGTTTCACTATGCTGAACTTTTTGTATTGGAGCAACTTGTCTTTTCTTTGTCTAAATAAATACCAAAAATTGTAAAAATAAGCAGTTATTAAAAATACTTCTTTCTATTTTCTTAGAAATGATATTTTTGTACATATATGAGGGTTGTCTGGTAAAATCATGGACAAAGCCTTTTTCTCAAAAAATAATGGGTGCACTAAGCTGAAATTTTCAGTAAATGTTTATTTATCATATTGAAGTGCATCATAATTTTTTTGATAAAAGATAGACAAAAATAAAGATTTTATAATGTTTGAATGTGCACAGGGTACGGTCTCACGGCGCACGGTCAAAAAATGAAGGTTTTAAAGAATACATGAGTATTGATCCGAAATAAAAGATTTTAATAGATAAGATTGGGGTAAAAATTATTGGTTATTTGATTCCACAATTTATTTTGTCATCTTTTTAAAAATATCAAGGCATTTGGTTAATTTTTGGCAGTTTCCTGAGCATTCGAAATTGGAAAGTGGTAAACACAATACACGAAAAATAGTGACATTTGATGATGTTACGGTGCACCTGAGAGCAGTTCAATTTGATTTAGATGGTGTAATAACACCTTTAGAGACTTTAAATGAATAAAGAAGGAAAATTTTTTTAAAAAAATTACCAGATCTTTAGTATAGAAATGAAATAGGAGTTTTATTAGTGAAGTTGTTCTTGATCGAGTCCCCATGTAGTACAAAACATATGGTCAAACTGCCATTGCAATAGCAAAAGACGCTGTCATTGTTGACCGTCAATATAAGATTGTCTATTAGTAGAATGATGGTAGGAATATAATTGTCCGTAACTTACTAATAAATCTGTAGAAGATCACACGTTTGTGCCAGATTGGTTCTTCAACTGATTATGGAGACAAAAGTATGTGCAACAATGAAATTACTTAATTTAAGTGACTTATCCAACTTTATTTTTAGCGCAAAGATTGAACATGACGCTGTTTTAGACACTTTGACGTTATCATCCGTGCGCCGTAAGGTGATACAATACATAACATATGTTCTTTGGCTTAACTGGTGACAGCCATGACAAGTTAGATTGTTTACTTTTATTTTCTCAATTTGACCCAAATAAGCTCTATTTTTATTTGAAATAAAATAAAAATTACAGATAAAACTACATGTAGTCATTGTTGGAATACCCAACAATTCACGTGAAGATGGTGTGATACGTTAATAAAACAAATTAGTAGTGGGATGTCATTATCACATGCTGCAAAACAGCAAAACATTTTCAAAATCAATTTTCTAATTGTGTTTTCAAAATAGATATTGTTTGTCATAATGTTTAAAGCTTGAAAATATAATTTCAAAATCTAATTTGCACTAAATGACTTCATCTGTTATCTATATTCTTGGGAAAAAAAGTACCTTCTACATTAATTTTTATTTATTTCGTATTTCTAACTGCAACTAATAGGATGTCTTGAGGGAATATCCTAGAAAATTAGCTTTGGAAATTACAAAATTCATATGATATTGGCATTGGAGAGAACAAAAATGGCATAAAAATCATGTTGGAAATTATAAAAATTTCTTACAAGTCCATTGTTGTACTGTCCAAGGTTAGAGAGTTTGTTAATCTGTCTTACTTCTGAAGGTTTATTTCTATTCAGTTAAATGATAAGTACAGCAATGGAGCTGGGTTTTTGTAAAAATTTATAAGGCTTTTATGAAATTATATTCAGGTTTTTTTTTGTAATGTCCTCCAGGGCAGGCCTGCTTAAATAAGGATTTACTTTTGGAAAGGTTTAATTTGTATAATTTAAATAAATTTACAAGAAGATGCTACATAAGTATATGCTGTAGAACAACTTAGATTAATTTAAGTATTCTTAACACATTGGTAGACCTATTAAAATACAATGTAAATTAATTGAACACTTTACATGTTTGCATGTATTTTCTCCACTGAGTAATTTTAGAGCAATTTCTACTCAATACTTTTTGTCTTTGAACATTATTACAAGTATTTTTTGTTGAAAATGAATGAGAGCCCTTATATCCATAAGTAAAATTCTATAATTTTATACCCTGAAAATCTTGAACCTTTGGATATAATGTATCATGTTTTTTTTTCTTGGTCCGATTGAGTTCAAGATAATGAGGTTTTACTATATTTGTTTTCAGGCAGCTAGGTATGCACAGAGTTTAGAAAATGCAGTATGGACAAACCAGTTTGACAACACAGCTAATAAAAGGGCACACATTGAAACCACAGGGCCAGAGATTTGGCAGGAAACCAGTAAGTTTATCATCAGAAATCACTAGGCCAGAGATTTAGTAGGAAACTTGTAATTTTGTAATCAAACACTATAGTGTCTGCAAAAAAAGGAAGATCCAGCACTTACAAAGATAGAATTTTTTACAACAGTTTTAAAATTACCTGACAAGTCCTATTGAAAAGGGGGGGGGGGGTCAGCTACATGGTGTATGGGATTTGATAACATGGATAAAGAAGAGCAAAGTTGTTGATATTTAATTTGAAAATTTTACATGCTGCTAAGGACTTGAATTCTTTGGGTCTCTTCATTTACCACAAAAACAATAAAACTTAAACCTCCAACAAAAATTAATAATTTCACAGCAATTCCTATGTATGAAGAAAACTGGACATTGATGGTGGAAATTGTTAAGTCATATGTTTTTGATTATAACCCTCAGATGGGAAAGTGAATGCTGTTGTATTTGGAACTGGAACAGGTGGGACTTTAGCAGGAGTGGGCACCTACCTCAAAGATAAAAACAAAAATGTCCAGGTGTTTCTGGCTGATCCTCAGGTAATTTTACATTCTCTGACGTTAAGAAAATAAATTCAAGATAATAAGGAAGCATATAACATTACTGCTACATCTTCAAAGCAGTCTTTATGTATACTGCTACATACTCATTACTGCTGCAAAATAGTATGCATTATTGCTACATTTGTTATTATACATTTGTGCAATAGCATTTGTGTTATAACTTTTAGATTGACTTTGGTATCAGGAAAGAAATCTTTATTTCAAGAATAGCAAAGTTAAATTATTATTAAACTTTGCAAGCAATCTCCATTGTTGTTCAAATCAACTTCCAGGGGCAGGGCAGGGTCAGTGTCTTTTAAAATCTTCTTTTCAAGAGTCAATGGACAAAAAAAAGAAAAGATAAAACTTATGTGTGTGTTTTTAATATAATAGAATTATTAATATGCAATTATTTCCAAAGTTTGTGAATTCATTTTTTTCTTCAGATTATGGACCTTAGGGGTTAGGGTAGGGCTAAAGTCATAGGGCTAAAGTCATGGATCCAGTTTTACATAATTTATGTGTATGGGGGAGTTTTGAAATGCATCAAGAGGATTTCAGTCATACTGAGATACTTAAACATTCACAGTTAGTGTGGGTTGAAAGATCTGTTAGAGTTAGAATGGGGCTACAATATGGGATCAAATTTTTTAACGAAACCACACTATAAGATTATGTAGGTAAGATGTGTAGCTCATATGGGGCATTTTCTTTTGTAGTCTAAGGATAACAGATTTAAATGGAATAAAAGGGGCATACAACTCTCTCTTTCTCCAAATATTTATTACAAATATTTCATAGCCAAGGAATAATCTGATATTTTGTTAGAATTTAATTACACTGGAACAGTTTTGTAAAGTATCAAAAATTTTTATGATAAATATGAAATACTGTATTTTCCGAGGTATATTTTCTATTGTCTGAGTATAAGCATCCTTGACCAATCAAAACTTTGAAAGTGAACTTAATTGCAATGAAATGCCATTTTAATTATTTTTTTTTCATTCTGAGCTGTTAATGTCAACCCAAAGCCTGTGAATGGTTGACTACAAGAAGACAATAAATTTGCTAACGATGATGTACTTTACTATTGTAAATGCATGCATATAAACTCACATTGCTAATTAATATCAGTTATAGTGCATAAAATTGCCAATATTAAAGAATTTCAGTAAGAAAATGTAGAGCAGCTCAAGAAAGGACAACTGCACTTATGGACCCTGGAAAAAATTGATTCAAACAAAGCATAATTTTTTTTCATCTCACATCATCAAATGATATCTTAACCACAAGATTAAAAAAAATTTTAGTGCTGAAATTCATGTATATACAAAGAGCAAAGCCCCATGCAATGTGGTAGGAGTCAGCCAACATTTTTGAGTTTCTTTAGTAAATTGAGGATGGGCATTCATTTGAAAGCCTAATTGTTAACTATCAGCTTAATGTAGTGCAAACTTACATAATATGTCATTTTTAACATACATATTGTAAGGCAATTGTACTAGTATTGGAAGTCATAATATTATACAACTCAAAATAACTGACCTAAATAGATGACACTCAGATAGATTCAGCAGAACTTTTCCAGATTTGGGGTATCTGTAGGCATTTTAAATCCCTAGTTCTTCAAAATCCATGCTGTTGATATTAACAATGATTTAGAATAAGAAATATCCACCAGTGTTAAGTTATTACCAAAAGAGAACAATTTTGTACAATAATATACATGTATTCTGAATTAAAATAGCACTGTATAGGGTTCATTTGCTATTTCTTTTAAAAAACGATTAGAAGATAAAAGAGAATAATAATGTTTTTGAAGGGAAAAAAAGCATTTAACACAACCAAACATGTCTATTCATCTGATTGAATACGATGTAAACATACATGTACCAGTGCTTGAGACACAGAATTTCAACTGTATTGTATTTGCATGTAAAGCCAATCCCAAGTGATTTTATTAGAATTATGCTGAATATCTTTTATATAATGAAGACGATTTTCAAAAGAAGGAATATTATGAATTATCTTTTTATATACTTAAAAATGAAAGGATGGTTTTTGAAAACCATTTTAATCAATAATAAACAATTAATTTTATTTGTTTGTTTGTTGTTTATAATGTCCCTATCAAGAATTTTTCACTCATATGTGGATACCCCACTACTTGCTGGTGGATAAAATAATTAGTTATTAGTTATTCATGATGGCATCATGAGTTATTCTAAAGACATTTTTTTAAAAATCACAAATTCTTTTCTTATTTAATGCGTAGCTTGTTTCTGTAAATGTTATCTTCATTATGAACATGATTCAAACTTGTGTTTGTGAGTTCAATTTTGTGATATTGAGCTTTAAAATGTGTCATAATCCCATATATTTGATTGAAAGCTGACCTTTACTTTATATAGTAAAGTTAGAAATATTAACATTAAATATCAATGTAGTAAATGCTTTTATATAATAATTGAATGATTCCCAAGCTTTCTGATTGAGTAAAATCCAACAAATAAAAAAAATAAGTTCATCTGTATCTGACTTTCCATAAATTAGATTTTTTTGGACATTGGACCAAACATCAGATAAGGAACTTTTAAAAGATTACCGTATGTTCTTTTTCATTTGAATTTTTTTTTAATTCACATTTGTCCTGTGAAATTCAATTATCTCAGTGCTTTCAAAGAGTTATTGAAGTATGGTGAAGTTCTATCTGAAAGCAGTAAGAGATATGATTGAAATAAGTTCGTACTATTTAATGATTGTCACCTACAATAAAAATGTAGCTGTATTCTTTGGTCTGCTTCTGTTTTAATAATTAATTCTTAATATCACGAGAAATCCATTATTAGCATGTAAATCATTGTAAACATGCATAACCTTTACTGTACAATGAATTAGCAGCCTCCCAAGGAAACTTCAATGATGTACATAATTTAACTAAAATGTCTTTAAAGCTTACATAAGTACATGTATTTTGTTTCTGAATTGTCCTAGAGTGAAATTTAATTTCTTGTTTAGTTGTTATCCCACAGTGGATGCAGATGAAAGAAAGGGGGAAAACAGGTCAAATAGCAGGGAGATCTCCCTGCAGTGTATAGCCCAATAGGAACCTGGATATTTAGTTAGAATTTGTTTTCATAAAAACAAACATTATTGTGATGTAACATTGAGTGATAGTTATGTGATAATTTCTCTTTCAGGGAAGTGTTCTGTACAACTATATAAAAAATGGAAAGTTAGAAAGAACCCCTGGTGATTCCATTACAGAGGGCATAGGTCAAGGCCGGGTCACTCAAAATTTGAAGGATGCTCCTATTGATGACGCATTAGCAATCAAAGATGTCCATGCAGTGGAATGGGTAAATGGAAAGATAAATTTAACATGATATTTCAGGCTTCTGACCATAGAGTAGTTACAAATCAAATAATGTATCCTAGAATCAGATTTAAAGCCACAAGAGGTAGTCAAAGCTCAACCATAAGATTCCAAGACATAAACTTTAAAAGTCTGAAAAAAAAATTGTGCAATTTTCTTAATGCTTTCAGAATGCTTTTTGTTTCAGACCTTCAGACTTCTCCATGAGGAGGGCTTTTTTGTAGGTGCTTCCACGGGACTAAACATAGCAGCTGCAAAGCAGGTAGCTGAGATCATGGGTCCAGGACACACTATTGTTACCTGTCTGTGTGACACAGGCCAGGTAATTTTGATTTTATTTGTTTGTTTTAAGACCCTTTTGAGATTTTTTCCCTCATATTAGGATTCCACCTCTTGCCAGTGGAGGGCTGCAAATTTAGACCTTAGTATATGTACCTGATACTCAGGGCCATTAAGCAGAGGAAGATTTTTTCTTGCCAGCAACTATCAAAACACAGGACATCAGTTTATACTGTCTCATCCCAAGGACAGGTCTGCATGTCTCCCAGTGGGATTCATACCTGATGTATGGATCAACTTCTTACTTCATGTCTGTAGATCAACCACTCTAACCATTACACCACATGGGGGATAAATTTTGTTTTTGAAAATATTGCTATTCACACAAATGCCAAGCCCAGCTGCTTTTTATTATGCACTTCATGTAATATACTCTTATTAAGTAATAATTGATCTCTCTTATATTAAAAGGAATATTTGGAAAACAAAGATATTAAAAATTTATCTTTATTATACCCCCCGCTTGAAAAGTGGGTATATAGTGATTGGTATGTCCGTTCGTCTGTCTGTTATGCTTTGGGGTACCCATCTCTTATCTGCAACTCCTCTCATACCACTGAAGGAAATTTAATGAAACTTTCACAGAATCTTAATTACGTATTGCCATTGTGCACCTTCTATTTTACTTTTTGATTTGACATATATTTTGGATTTTCCAGAGCAAAACATGGAGGGCTGCAAATGCCATTATGTTGCATACATGGGGGCGGGGTTTTTGAAAATATTGATACTCACACATATGCCAATCCCAGCTGCTTTTCATTATGCACTTCATGTAATATACTCTTATTAAGTAATAATTGATCTCTCTTATATAAAGAAGAATATTTGGAAAACAAGGATATTAAAAATTTATCTTTTTATTTACTTACTTTTCATAGGATGGTTTTTGTTAATAACTCTTGGAATCAATAATAAACATTCAGTTTTTCATAGGTAAAGTAGCCAAAAGTTTCTGTCATTATCATGATCAATTAAATGTTGATATAAAATAAGTCCAAGATGAAAATATTCACCATTATGATTATTTTAGACCTATGCTATTGATTCAAGGTTTAGTTTTCTAAGAAGTGCATTGACTTCAAATATTTAGGCTTATAAGTGTGTTGAAGTAGATTTATGCGCAGTTCTTTAATACATGGGTACCTTTCCACCTATAGTGCCAAAAGTAATTGAAACAATTGCAGATATTTAACAGTAATATTGAAATTTGAAATCACAATATTTGACAATTATTTGTTGATAAAATTCTAATTTGGTATTAGTCATGAGTTGATAACCCACATCTTAAGTCAGGCATCTCATTGCAAAAAGGTGGTTTGGGGTTCAGGAATTGGCTGTCCTAATTTTAGAAGCCAAGAACATAAAAAAACCTAAAATAAGTACTGTAAAATCACATATTTTCTTGGGATCAAATATTTTGTGGTCCGATGAAAAAATATGGGTTCTCGGGGATTAAAATTTCAAGGATGAAGAATTTTAAGTAGTAATATCTGTGAAAAATTACATTCAAAAATACATTAAATTCTTGGGTTTCTTCATACCACAAAAAAAAAAAACAACTATAAAAATTAACCCCCTAACAAAATGAGTGATTTTACAGTAATCACTGAATCCCTTGTGTGTCTGTCTGTTTATATACATATAGTGTTAACTTGGGTATCTTTCTTTCTATAATCTTCATATTTAAACCACTTAGGTTTATATAGGTGGTAAATGGTAAGAGAAAGACAGTTTTGCAAACATTTGGTCAAAGTCAAAATGATTCTCTTATTAAATGAAGCATAATGTTTAGGCCTGTGTCAAGAAGTTGACATGTCCACAAACATAACACTTGATAATTTCCATAAGATGTTTAAATGTTAAGACAAGCAGGGTAGTTCAGATTGCTATTGTTGACACAACTGAGTTTTCATGAATCATTTCTTTGCAGTAAAACATGTTTCTAATGAACACACATATATAATGAATTGCAGCAAAGTGATTCCCATTCCTTATGGCTTTAAAATATACAGTGTAGTGGGATCAGATATAATGAATGATGTTTATATTTAAACAAAGCCCTTTGAATTTCAGTACAAGCATGTTTTATATACTGTAGTAATAAAAGTTTTGAGGTATATATACATATGTACATTTGTAGGCAAGGCCTATATATAGGGGTCTTCAGATATAGCGAGAATTTGAATAGAAATGGCGGACACATTCCTTTTTCAAATCGTGAACAGCTTTAATTTAGAATTAAATAAAGTAAACAAAAATGATGAATTGATACAGTATTTTACATATGACATACTCAATATATTTTATTGGAGTTTTCTCCCTTACAGTGTTATTCTCTTTTCTAGAGATACTATGGAAAGTTGTTCAGTAGGAAGGTGCTTCAAGACAGAGGTAAGATCATAAACAGATTTAAAATGGGGTGGGGTGAAAAAGTCTCCTCCTCCCTACCACCACACACACACACACCCACCCTCACACACACACACACCAAAAAAAGGGGAGAATTGCACAGAGATACATGCATTTAGTACAGAAGGACAGATAATACAAACCAATTTTTTATCAAAAGTCCTGAAAATAATATCCTGAATTACATCAATGTGAGAAAAAATAATAAGCTTCATAGTATAGAATTTACTGTATACAGGGAAATTTTCGCCCCATTTTAATTTCGCCCCTTTTGCCCTACTTCCAATTGGGCGAATTTAAAACAGGGCAAATTCAAAGAATACAGTATAATTTTTTAAACAAAACTATGACAGGGTGAATTTAAAATGGGACAAAATTGTTTTCAAGTGTGAAAGGGTGAAATTAAGACGGGGCGAAAATAACCCTGTATACAGTATTTTAATTCAAAATTTCATAAAAATGGGATTTTAAGTGACAAAAAATTATATAAATAAAATAAGGTTGGTCGCAAAATGTCATAAAAAGTTAACAAATTCTTAATATTTTAGTTACATGTATTTATTTGTCACAACATTTACAACCAAAATTGGTCAAACAATATATACCAATCCAGGCATGTATCATCTGTCTAAAAGGGCAAAAATTATTTTTCAAGTAATTTACGAATTACCGAAAAGAAAACATTTTGAATGAATACTTTAGATACCAAAATACCACTGTTTAAGTCAGGTGGGGATCTTTTTTTTTTTGCATCTGTAAAATATTTTCAAATTTGCTCCCACACTTGAGATTGAATCCTTGATCTCCTATTGGAGATTCCTCTCCAAATCAGTTGGAGGTGGATGTTTTGATAAATGTACTAATTGATGAAAACAAGATTGTTTTGCACTTAAGTTTGTAGAAGGTGCTAGACTCTAGGTTGTATTGTTACTTATTCTATTTAATTAAGCAAGGACAAATGTATCTTACATTTAGCATTACTTAATGTTATAAACTGGATATAAAACATAATTAAAGTGATTAGCGTATACACTAATTGCTTAAAATGGGTACAGAAAGCAGAGGGTGTTTGCCTTGAGGACAGCCACAGCAAAATAAAATAGATATGTATGTACTGTTAATACTTTCAAATAAATTAAGAATCTTTGGTGAAATGTTCAGACAATCTCTTTCATTCATGACTGTTTTAGGAGTTGATTTGATATGGAATTTTATCTTTTAGTACTTTTATATCGGTGCAATCTATAATAGAGGTCATTAGGTGTTTATTGAATATTTCGCACATTAAGCAAACAGTTGGACGTAAAAACCTTTATATTATTGCTTTAGCTTCCCTTGAACTGGCATAAAAATTACCTACATGTATGTACTGTAAAAGTCTAGACGCAAAAGAAGAGAATAGACATGTATATGTGATTCTTGCAGTGATTTTATTTAGGCAATAATAAGTTGACATAAATAACCATTTTAGAGTAGAGATGGAAACAAAATCGTCTGCAAAAGAGATGGAAATCAAATTTTCAGCATAAGATCATGTTAAAGTAAAAGCCCCCCCCCCCTCCCCCAATTAGCTTCTTTTATAAAATTTGTCCTCAACACCTTCTGAAAATTTCTATCACATTTTCTTAGAATAATTGTTATAAATGCTTTCATTAATATAAGGCCTGTTCTCTTTATGGCTGCATATCACATCTGGAATTTTGTATAAAAATATTCAACTTTTGATTTCCAACACCTAAAAGTTCTCCAATATTTTGCATAAAGTACTTTTCTGAAAATGAAAACAGACTGTTAACTTTTTCCCCACATAAAAAATGAAAGAATAAATAATTAATGTCTTACATAAATTTGGTGCAGTCACCAACAATGTTCAGGGGAACATTGAATTTGGTAAACATTGCATGATCATTTAAATTATGCAAAATTTTTAAACTTGACTTGATGCATTTATGTACAGTGTATTGTAATATTTTTATTAAAAAATGTGGTTTGAATTAAATATAATATTTATATCCTATGAAGAAATTTATGTTTATTTACTTGATTAAAATTAAATTTCAAGAAAGGTACCCTACAAAAATATTAGAAATGTACAAAAATAAATATCGAAAATGATGTGTAAAATATGGAAATGGAAATAAATACATATAATGTAAGAATTGTAAAGCAAATTTCTAGAAATAAAATGCTGCCCTCTATATATAGTTATGAGGAAATGAAAATGTATACCCTACACCCATTATAGGATATATCTTTCCATTCCTCAGGAAAGAAAAAGTAAAACCCTCAAGAAATCAGAGATCATTTTGCTGTCTGTTAGCAAATTATCTGATGCAATAACAGCCACTCATCAATCTGCAGACTTCATTGAATGAGGGATGGTAACAGGAAGAATTCTCTTAGTTAGTGGTCAAAAGTCTTGTTTATTTGTCGGAAATAATTGATTTGATCATTAAAGGAGTTATTATTTGAAGAATTTCATTTTTTTAATGAAAATCTTTACAACAGTTCATTAAAATGCTGGTATAAGATAAATTAACCAACATAAATTTTTGCATGAGTCAGCAACAATTATATTTATTACCACATATATTTGCCTATAAATTGATTATAAGGAGTTTAATTAAAAAGTTATTTTCCTGTAAGATGAAAAACAGTATTATTTTTAATGATTCCAGAAATAATTGTTCATAAAGGTACAAACTTATTATAATGTAGGAAAAATGATCAAGGCCACTACAGTGTATATGCATAAAGCCCAAAATCTTATATTTATGTTCCCCAAACGAAGTTGGGGAACATATTGTTTTTACTCTGTTTCTTATTATTATTATTATGTTCCCCAAACGGAGTTTGGGAACATATTGTTTTTACTCTGTTTCTTATTATTATTATTATTATTATTTTTTTTCTTATTTGTTCTCCGGTACTTTTTTGTCCGCGAGTGTTCTCAGAAACTGTTCACCCAACTGAGCTAAAACCTTTTTAGGGTTAATAGGTGTGTAGTGTAGGTGTGCGGAACGAAGGTCATTTTGCGCGCATACGCCTGCACGTGCGTGCGCGTGAAATGAGTGAATTGACTGATATACTTAATATAGCTATAACTTTTACATTTTTTGATGAAATGCTTTGAAACTCATTACATGAGGATATATTAATAGTGTTAATATAATGACACTGTCAAATTAGCACGAACTCACGCGCATGCACGTGCGCTTTGCTCTGATTGGCTGAAACAAAAAACTCAATAACTCTTTTGTCTTTTGACGAAATGCTTTGAAATTTAAGAAATTGTCATGAATTAGGATACCCTACAATATGGTATGGAACAATTTCATGAAATCACGCGCATGCACGTGCAATGCAATCCGATTGGCTGAAACTTTAAATGGCTATATCTCCTTTGTTTTTTGACGAAATGCTTTGAAATTTAAAACATAGTCACGCATTAGGATATCCTGCAATATGAAATACAAAAATTTCAAGAAATCACGCGCATGCACGTGTGCTGCAATCTGATTGGCTGAAACTTTAAATGGCTATATCTCCTTTGTTTTTTGACGAAATGCTTTGAAATTTAAAACATAGTCATGCATTAGGACATTCTACAATATGATTTAGAAAAAGATTCTTGAAATCACGTGGATGCACGTGTGCTGCAATTTGATTGGCCGAAACTTGAAATGGCTATAATTCCCTTGGTTTTCAACCAAACAAGATGGGATTTAGAACATAGATAGATATAAAGGCCTCCTACAAGAGGGTATGGTCATCATGCACGTACACGCACGTGCGTGCATTTGGAATGAGTGAAATTAAATATACACTTAAATGAGTGATTTTTTAAATACTTTTGGACTAAATGCTTGATATAAAGTATATTTAAATATATAGAAAGTGTAGACAAGATTATATGATCATTACGCACGTGCATTCACATGGGCACGCGTGCAATGTTAAAATTTGAATATAATTGGTATCCTTTTGGGAAAACGTTGTAAAAGTAAAAAATGCACAGATGTTGTCTTATTAATGAAGTTTACAGGGAATATGGCATCAAAAGGGATTTGGGGAGCGTTTGGGGAACATCTGTAACGGTTCCCGTTACAATTAGCACTAGTTATTATTATTATTATTATTTTTCTTCTTCTTCCTGGGTACTTTTTTGTCCGGGAATGATCTTGTAAACTGTTCGTCCGAGGTAGGTAAAACCTTTTTAGGGTAAGTAGACATGTTATGCAGATTTGCGGAATCAAGGTCATTTTGCGCGCACGTGCTTGCAAGAGCGCGCACGTGCAACACTTGAAATAACCAATATAATAGATATAGTCGGAACTTTTCTATTTTTTGATAAAATGCTTTGAAACTCATAATGTAAGGATACATTAGTAGTATAAACAAGATGGCATGGTCAAAATAGCAAGATCTCACGCGCATGCACGTGCGCTTTGCTCTGATTGGCTGAAACTAAAGTCTCAATATCTTTCTTGTTTCTTGTCATAATCTTTTGAAATTTTGAACATGGTCCTACATTATGAAGATCTACAGCATGATATATTAAAATTTTAATAAAAGCATGCGCATGCGCGCGTGCTGTAATCTGATTGGCTAAAACTTTAAATGGCTATATCTCCTTTGTTTTTTGACGAAATGCTTTGAAATTTAAAACATAGTCATGCATTACGATATCCTAAAATATGATATAGAAAAATTTCAAGAAATTACGCGCATGCACGTGTGCTGCAATCTGATTGGCTGAAACTTCAAATGGCTATAAATCTCTTGTTTTTCAACCAAACAGGATGGGATTTAGAACTTGGATAAATATAAGGGACTCCTACAAGAAGGTGTAGTCATTATGCACGTGCTTGCACGTGCGTGCACGTGAAATGAGTAAAATAAAAAATACACTCGAATGAGTGCATTTTTTAATACTTTTGGATTAAATGCTTTGATATTATTAAAATTTTAGATAGTGTAGA